CTGTGGCCTCTCCCGTTGCAGAGCACAGGCTCCGGACGCACAGGCTCAGTGGCCATGGCTCACGGGCCCAGCCGCTCCGTGGCATGTGGGATCCTCCCGGACCGGGGCACGAACCTGCGCCCCCTGCATCGACAGAGGGACTCCCAACCACTGCGCCACCAGGGAAGCCCAGGAAATATTTTAAAGTGTCTGATATACCTTCTTCCAATAACTACCTGTGATTTACATGGTCTTCTCTGCAGTATCTCAAACTGGATTTTCTGACAATAGGATGGACGGCTTTTACAGATCTGATATGAACGAGTGTTGGGTGTATATGGACCCTGCCTTCATTTAAAATTTATTTTGTTCATCATCAATATTTTTGCATTAATTTTGATTTTTTAAAAATATCGCATTAGACTATTTATTTTGATGACTGAGTCTCTAGCCGTTCCTTAAACTTTATGCCAGAGGCTAATATGTCTTATGCTCATCCCCGCCCTGGTATGTGAGTTTAGACATATCTGTGAATAGAATGCCTGAGTGCAGTTACAAGTTTTATATACAGACAGTCTTATTTTTGTCATTTTGTTTCACTCTCTCTGTCTCTTCAATATCTTTGGGTAATTAAGACGAGTCTCTGACAATACTTATTGGGTACCCAGTTTTAGGCTTGTAAACAGTGGGCTGGGATGGCAAAACAAGACTGTTCATGGGCAGTTGCTGTGCAGTTTCAATATATCCATTCTAATTTTGTAAAACTTTTGATTTAGGGGTTTATGGTCTTCTAAGCATTTTGTGGTGAAATATGGAGCCGATCAATACAACCGCCCTGTCAAACGCTTCCAACATAGACCCGGGCCGCTGCGACAGGCCCTGCAGGATGATTCTCATAACACTCTACGGCGCGGTTCTGCTGGGCGGTGCTGCAGGAGCTATTACGATGTCTTGTATGACGCCAAGAAGGAACAGCCGATCAGTGATTGCCACCATCGTTCTCAACATCATAGTGCTACACTCCATCCTCCTGGTCAGCCTTCCCTTTCGCCTCAGCTAGTATGTATCAGTCGTCTGGGAGTTTGGATTCTTCACCTGCCGATTGGTTAGCAGCATAATATATGGTCATATGTACTTCACCTTGGCTTTCTTTCTTTTTTTTTTTTGCAGTACGCGGGCCTCTCACTGTTGTGGCCTCTCCCGTTGTGGAGCACAGGCCCCGGACGCACAGGCTCAGCGGCCATGGCTCACGGGCCCAGCCGCTCCGCGGCATGTGGGATCTTCCCGGATCAGGACACGAACCCGTGTCCCCTGCATCGGCAGGCGGACTCTCAACCACCGCGCCACCAGGGAAGCCCCCACCTTTGCTTTCAATGTGGCCATCATCATACTCCGATTGCTCATGTATTTTAAGAAACTCCAAATGCAGCAGTTCCAAAAGTACCATGCGGTGGTTTTAAGCATTATTATTTGGATGGTGGGTGCTGTCATCTTTTTGCCAATATTTTTTTTACAATATGGCACCCATCCAAGTTACTCAGAACAACGATGCTTTGAGTTCTACAGAGACCTCAGCCACAGGGAATGCATTATCTTGAACATCTACAATCATCATTATGATGACAACGGTTGCGACCCTCTTTCTGATACAGATGGGGGTTATCGTTCAACTGGTAAAGACTCTTTGGCCAGACATGTGGGCCCATCAAGAATGCAGAGCTCAAATCCAGAGCTGCTTCTTCCTCCTCGTAATAGTGGTCTGTTTTGTACCCCAGCATGCCTTCCGGGTACATTTCATTCAACATTATTCAGAGATAGAAAATTCTGAGTTAGTTCTTTATAATGAAATTTTTGTTGCTTTAACTAGCTTGTTGCCTGGATATGCTGTGTTTGGTAGGGGGTGTTATCCATTAAATACTCCTATGTTACTTGCTTTGTAATCAGTTTTTCGCTATTGTGATAAAATAGTTTTGATTTAGTGGGCGTTTCCATGACTTCGAAATTTTTCAAATTCTTGCTCTTAAGCATCATCAAAATTATTTTTCCATGAAAAGGTAATGAAGATTGATTGTTTCCCTCTACTCGGAGAATTGTTATCAGTTCTTCGTTAACGAAGAATATGTTTGATCACCTTAACTCTACACAAGTTGACCCGGACCATCCAGACTCAACCCCTACCTCTTTTTTCTTGCGATGTTTACTTCAGCTAAGCACGGCTATTGCCTTTCCCCATGCACTCTCCAGGCTGTTCTCCTCTTTGCATTTACTCCCACTGAGCTTTGATTGTAGAACGTTCTTTCCCTCTATTGCTAAATTATTCTTCAAGGTCCAGAGAACCTGAAGATAAAGACTCTACAGAAGCCTTAACTTATTCAACGTATACTCAACTTCTTGAAAATTTCTGATAGCCAGGAAAGCTCTGGCCGCTAGCTGTGGTACGTGTAGGAAAGGATTAGCTCAGATAGTCAAGAGACGTAGAGGAAATTCTTTCGGGACTGACGGGGTACTGAAGTGGTTTGATTCTGATTAAGGTATAGTAGGTAGTCAGGAAGCCGAGGTTACGTCCCAGATCTACCTTCCCAGACATGGATCCGTGAAGCAGGAAAAGAAATAGGAAAAAGTGGAAGCCAGCTGGACTTCGTTTAAGCGTGATGGCAGACTGTATTAGAGCCATGCCTTTCAGACTGTGGGGCTGTCCTCAAGCTGGTTCCAGGCATCCTATATGACCAAGTGGTTTTATACAATTAAAATCAACACTGGTATCAGTTAAAGTCAATAAAACAACCAAGAAAACCAACTCAGAACTCAGATTCTACTTAGCAAGTACAGACATTGATACGCCCTTACGCTTTGCTTTGCGTATAATTATGCTCCATAAGGAGGACTTACCACTTCTTCCAACTCATTCTGGATTTTGGAGAAAACTGAAAAAATGCACCAATGATTACAAATGTACATGTATCTTGAAATTGGCTTTTGAGTTTCCATTTCCACATGATTTTCTACTGGGTCTATCAGGCAGAAAGTCAAATAGATTACTTGAAAAGGAGGAAAAATGGTACCCCCTGCACCAGGGAGAAATGATGAAGTATCTAAAGTTCACCCTACTGTAAGGTCAACATCATAAACCTGTTATATGGCGACAATCTTTTTTTTTTTCTTTTCTTTTCTTTTCCTTTTTGGCTGTGTTGGGTCTTCGTTGCTGCACGCGGGCTTTCTCTAGTTGTGGCAAGCGGGGGCTACTCTTCGTTGCGGCGCGCGGGCTTCTCGTTGCGGTGGCTCCTCTTGTTGCGGAGCTCGGGCTCTAGGTGCGCGGGCTTCAGCAGTTGTGGCACACGGCTCAGTAGTTGTGGCTCACGGGCTCTAGAGTGCAGGCTCAGTAGTTGTGGTGCACGGGCTTCATTGCTCTGTGGCATGTGGGATCTTCCCGGACCAGGGCTCGAATGCATGTCCCTTGCATCAGCAGGCAGATTCTCAACCAGTGCGCCACCAGGGAAGCCCGACGATCCTTTCTTTTTGATGCATTTGCTTTTGAGCAGTAGTCTTCAGAGTGTGAGTGGGAACAACTATAATTCAGTGGAATGCAGAAATAGTAGTAGAAATTTATTTCTATTTATTTTCTATTAAAATATAGTATGTTGTGCTGACATTCATAAAGGAACTATAGCAACGCACGGGTATAAACTATGAATATTACTTTATGGGGATGTATACAAATCTTTTTTAATGATAAGGATGTAATATCAAAAAAACCTGAAATCCACTGTTCCTGAAGACCATTCAAGCAATGACAATATTCTCTCTCAGAAGGTTTTTCTCTTAGGGATAAGACTACTCTTTGTCTAGTGAAGTATCCTGATGAAATGTAATGAAATGTAACTATCAAGATAATATAGAAAAACAACATATCAGGTATTACTATCAGATACCTGATGAATGTATTTGTACAGACCACCTATTATTGCCCTTGTCAAACTGCCTTATAATTATCTGTCTGTATGTAATTATCTCTTATACTCCCCACACTTCAGACCATGAGATACTTGAAAGCAATGAATGGGTCTTATCTGATTGTATATATTTAATCCTACCCTACAAATCAAACCACTCTTGAAGCTAGAAAAGGGTGGAATCAGATTCTGGGGGCTGGAATTGTGAATTCTGTCCTCAGGTAGTAAAATCATCTGTTCGTGAGCCCTCTGCCTAGGGTGAAAGCTGCTCACACGACAGATCGTAAACCAGTGACCTCATAAATCTGGTCAGATGGAGGTTTGTGCAAGTGTCTCTCAATCTGGATGATGACAAACATTGATATTTCAGAGTGAAAATTATTGAGTTGGAGAGTACTCTAGATTTCAGAGATTGACCAGATCAAGGACAGATCTTCTGATTAATTGATTTACTGATAATTTTCTTTTCCTCTCAACCACTTATTTTGCCCCTTGATAGCAAATATATCTTCAATAAAACTCTGTGCATAAAAAGTTACTATTAAGTCCTCCATTTATAAGGAACTACAACAAAGATAAACTCTCTATCTACTTTACTAATACTAAACCCAGAATCTTCAGTGCTTCAGTCTTAGAAAGGGGCTATCAGCTGGATCAACTCCTCTGAGCTGATCCAGTCAAGGTCCCACGAGGAAATGATGTTCCACACAAATCAGGATAATTCAACGATAACTCAATGATGAGAACTAGTTATAAAGAAGTGGATACAATGCAGGGAAACCAGAAACAATGGTATTCCAGGGCTAGTAACCGAAGCGCTGCCACTATCCCTATGCCCAAAATGGTAAACAGGGAAAGTGGTGACCAGAAGCTGGAAATAGGAGTAACATGGAGTGAGCTGCTTTGAAAGAAGCTATGACCTTAGGCTGACAAATCCATCACCTCAAGGCAAAGTTGCAGAAAATAAACCAGTGGAATAAATACCACCATCTTATTGTTCTCTATCCCTCCAATGTTTTGGTGATGTTCTCTGTTGGCTGAATTCCCCAGAAGCCAGAGGGCAAGGGAGACTATTGAGGAGGTTCATACAAGTCGGCTTCTCTGGGCGGACAGCAGGGTAGAGAATCATGGAGAAAAATGGTGACAAACCCTGGCTTTCAAAAATATTCCTTAATGATGTCATTGCTCCTAAAACAGAAGCAAAAAGCAGAGATCAAACTTGGTAGCAAGATGTGATTTAAAAAAGAAAACGAAGATGATAAAATATAAGCTGGCACATTTCAAGGAATAAGCAACAGAAACATTTCAGAAATGAAGGTTCTATTGAAAAGCCTCATAAAAGAGAATTGAACTGTATAAAACATAGTAAAGAACCTGGAGATCAGGATCAGTAAAAGCAAACATAATCATATGAAAAAATTTTTAAAAATTGAAAAGAATTAGCATGACAATGATGGTTGAGGAACACAGCAAGGGAGTTCTAATACACACATTGGCATCTTCTTATTAGTTGTTATTTCATCTTTTTTTACAAATACACTTTTGCTGGGTATAGAATTCTAGGTTGACAGTTCTTTTCTTCCATTATCTTCTCACTTAGAGCTTTGGTTTCAGGATAATTCTGTCCTCATAAAATGAGTTTGGAAATAGTCCTCCTCTGTTTCCTGGAAGAGTTTGAGAAGGATTGGCATTAAGTCTTCTCTAAATGTTTGCTGGAATTCACTTTTGAAGTCATCTGATCCTGGTTTCTTCTTTCTTACAATGTTTTTGATTACTGATTTCATTTCTTTACTTATAGATCTGTTGAGATTGTCCCTTTCACCTTGAATCATTTTATGTAATTTGTATGTTGGTGGGAATTTATACATTTCTTCTAAGCTATCCAATTTATTAGTGAACAATTATTCATAGTATTCTCTTAAAATCCTTTTTTATTTCTGTAAGCTTGGTAGTAATTTCCCCACTTTCATATCTGATTTTGTGTATTTGTATTTTCTCTCTTATTTTCTTTGTCAGCCTAGCTAAAGGTAAGTCAATTTTTGTTATCTTTTCTAAGAATCAACTTTCAGTTTTGTCGATTCTCTCTGTTCTTTATTTTATTTATGTCCACTGTAAATTTCATTATTTCCTGCCCTCTACTAGCATTCATTGTAATTTTACCTGGTTGGATGTTGGATATTGCTGTATTTTTATAAATATTCTTGAGCTTTCTTCTGGGTTGCAGTTTGATCCTTTAAGGTGTTATTTTTAAG